GCTAACCGGCCGGCCCCTCCCTCCTCGGCCCAAGAGGGCGGGCGGGGCGGTGCGCGGAAGCCACAGAATCCGCCCCCACTGCTCCGCGCTCTCCACTTGGAGAATCCGGCGCTCGGAGCGGGCGGGCGGAGGCGAGTGGGGCTGTGTGGGCCCGGCCCCGCCTCACCAGGTACGGACTTTCTCCGGCGGGGAAGGGAGAGGGTGTAGAGGTGATGGACCAAGGCAGGCTGAGCGGGACAGTGGAGAGCAGAGAGAGACACTCCAGCGGGAAGTTCAGGACCCGGGGATGGAGGCCGGGGAGGGCAGCGGGACCCGGATGGGAGAGAGGCTCTCTCTGGCGTGGGTGTTGAGTGGGGGACACCTTGAGTGCCGCCGTCCCCCACCCTTGAATGTTCCCAGCAGGTCCATAAGCTCTGGTTTCTTTGCCGTGTTGTGCTTGGGGACACAGGAATCATCTGACCCTGCTGAGCCCCCAGGACTCACAGCCCCAGGAGAGCAGGAGATAAGTTCCTGTCTGCTGCCCACGGCCTCTGCCCCTGGCTCTGCCCTCCCCGGGCCCAGGCGTCACCATGTGGCGATGCCCACCCGAGCTGGTGCTGTTGCTGCTGCTGACTGGCGAGTTGGCCCTGGGCGCTTGGCGGGGCCGCTGGCGCCGGGAGCTAGCTCCCGCCCTGCACCTGAGGGGCATCAGGGACGCAGGTGGCCGGTACTGCCAGGCGCAGGACTTGTGTTGCCGTGGCCGGGAGGACGAATGCGCCATGCCCTACCTGGATGCCACCTGTTACTGTGACCTCTTCTGCAACCGCACCGTCTCCGACTGCTGCCCTGACTTCTGGGACTTCTGCCTGGGGGTGCCGCCCCCCTTCCCCCCCATCCCAGGTGGGCACTAGGCAGACCCCAGACCCAGCAAGGCTCAGGGACAAAGCTGTTGCACTGGCATTTCCAGGGGCGGCTTTGTGGACTCTGGGAAAGAGGCCCAAGAACCTGCCCCTCCGGGAAGTCCCTGTTCTGGTTTAACTTGAATCTGTCCAGCGAGACTGAAAGAGAAGGTCCTGTCAGCGGGATTCTAAGCTGAACCAGGAGAAAGGCAGCTCCTGCCCTTTCTCCCAGTCCTGTCTCTACTCCCGACTTGGCAGGTGGCGGCCGCTGACTCACCCCCCTCCCCCCCAGCTGATAAAGCACACAGGGGCTGGCTAGGGTCGTCTGAGCCACCTCTGTCTTTGCTCAGGGTCCTGTACCTCTGAGATAGCTGCCACCGGGCTCTTGGGGGCTTCCTGCCTCCCTTCTGTCCCCCCCCTCAGCCCTCACTGCCACCCTTTTCTATGCTTCACCTTGTCCAGTAGGAGAATCCCTCGGATTGCTTCCCACAGTCCTGTGAGGCTGTGGGTGTGAGACTGTACCTGGCTTGTCATCCCGAAGTTCAGGGTAACCTATTTTAGAGAAGACACTTACCTTCTTTGGGACTCCCTTCTTTGGGCCTCAGCACTCTCTTCCCATTCCCTGTCTCCAAGCCCCCACTCATTATTTAAATAGCACAGGATTTAAGGTGTGTTGGCTGTTACCCAAATGAAGCAAGAGGAATCTAAGTCACTGACAAGCACCCAGGTAGCAGTTGGTGTGTGACTGCAGGTGAAGCCTTGAGTATTAGTTTGAGGGAGGGCTGCTGTACGTGTTTGTGTGCGTGTGTGTGTGTGTGTGTGTGTGTGTGTGTGTGGTGTGTGTGGGGGGTAAATGACCTCTGAGGACCTGACCATGTCAGCCACAGCCTGTGGTCTTGGGTCCATTTCTCATCTCTCTTCCCTCCCTCCAGGATGCACGCATGGAGGACGCCTCTATCCAGTCTTTGGGACCTACTGGGACAACTGTAACCGTTGGTGAGTAGGGTTTGGAGGGAACTTTCCTGCCGGGCCTCGTGGCTGACAGACTTGGTTCAGATCCCACGCCCACACCTTACTTGCCGGGGCAAGTGCTTTTCCCTCTGAGCCTCAGTTTCCTCATCGGTAATATGAACTGTCATACTAACCATGTAAGAGTGGTCGGCCCGGAGTGCCTGACCCCTGAGCTGGGACTCCTTCCCTGCCTCTCTGACTCAGGATAGGTTCACGTCCTCCCAATCTTTTTTAATGTCAAGGCAGAGTCCATGAAGGGGGAGCCAGGAAGGAAACCTACAGCATCCGCTCCCCCTGGACCGGATGAGGGTCAGGGATGGCTGAGCTGGAGGTCAGCAGGGCCTCCCCTGGAATGTGACCCCCTCCCCCACCCCTGGCAGGAGGGTGTAGGGCTTAGGGGTGCCCCCTGTCTATCCCCAGGTCTGAGATGGGGAGTGAAGCACTGACTGGGACATCCTGAATGACTTCATGGAAATAGTGGGGACTCTGAGGCTTAGTATTGGGGGAGGCCCTGCACCCACTCCATGCTATGTCTTCTTTGCTTGGGACTGAGTGACCTCAGGGAAGAGGAAAGTTTTTGGAATGCATTTTGCATAAACTGTTTCCATTGCCTCACTGGGGGGGTGGGGGGGTTCGCCTGGGTCACCGGAGAGTGGGGACTCTGCTACTCTGTGTTTCAGCATGCCTTGGGGGGGTGGGGTGGTTTATGGAATGCGCCTGCACAGTTCTGCCAGACCAGATAGGGTGCTTGTGGCATTGAGGGGTTAACTCCTGTCCTGAGACATGGACCCCCTCTGGAATGAAGCTGCTATCAGCCCTGTCTCGACCTGCTTGGGCAGTCTTGGGGCACAAAGGGAGGTGGCAGGAAAGGACTGACTGGCCCCTGAGCAGCTGTTCCCTGCTCTGGACACCTGAGGGAGTGGTGTCTGGGCCTTCCAGGCTCTGTGCCCTCAAGGGATGCCTCAACAGTGCCTGGACAGTGCCCACCCACGGGGAAGAGGAGGGGAGGTTGAGGAAAGCCTCCCGCCCCCATGGCCTCCTCCAGCCCTTCCTGAAAGTGCAGGCCAGCTCTTCAGGCTGGAGAGCCCGGCCATACTGGGCTTCATCCCCTTGAAACTCCTTAAAAGGAAGGCAGCATTGGAGGCGGGAGTCTCGCAGGCTTACAAGGAGGCAGTTGAAGCATCTGGTCATAGCAGAGTTATGCGCTTGTTAAAGGATGTCTGCATTCATAGAATTCATCTGCCCGTGGACACCTATTTATTAAACACCAGCTATGCGCCAGGCGTGGCTTGGAGACGCAGCTGGAGCTCCTGGCTCAGGTCTTTGTGTGGGAGCATCTGGCCCAAAGGTGACAAGCTGAGCCCACGGCATCATCGCAACCTGTGTGTGGCTGTGACAGGGAGAAGAGAGAATAGTGGCGGTGCGGGTTTGGAGTGGGGAGGGGTGAGGGAAGGCTCCTTGGGAAGGAATATTTATGCTGACACTAGGAAGATGGCTATCCAGGAGGAGGAGGGCCAGGCCCAGGCAGCGGGAGCCTGGGGGAAGCCGGGAGGTGGGGGTGGGTGGGGTGGTGCAGGTCCCAGGCGAAGCTGTGAATGGGGACAGAGGCCCCGGGGTAGGCAGGCCGTCCCACGGGTCTCATAAGTGGTGCGGGGATTTTGCATTCCATTCTCGTGTGGTGGGAAGCCACTGGGAGCATACAGGCTCTGATTTGTGTTGTGCAAAGACTCCTCTGGCTTTTGGAGGAAGCCTGGGGGGATCATGAAGAGGCAGGGAGCTAATTAGGGAGCCACTGCATGATCCAGATGGGAAGTGCCGTGCTAAGGGGAGAGGAGACAAATTCAGTCTTTCATGCACCACCTCAGACCTGTGGATGGGGGAGCGGGAGGGGGCGGCAGTCAGGGAGTTCTGCTCTGAACACCGGGAAGACGTGGTGCCATTTCTGGGTCGAAGATGCTAGGGGAGGCAGTCTTGGCCCTCTTGGGGCGGCCATTTACACACCCAGAGGACTGTCAGGAGGCCAGGAGGCCAGCAGCTGGAAAGGAAACTCGAGAGGGGATTCCTGTAACGAGAACAATAGTAGCTAGTAATTTTTAAGCACTTAGCAATGCACCAGGCCTGTGCTAAGTGCTTTCCAAGCTTGCCCTTCCATCCCTGGCAGGTGGAACTTTTAGCATCCTCACTTTACCCATGAGAAGAGAGAGAGTTCAATAACTTACCAGTGCTCACAGGACTTGTCAGCGAGGCTTGGAACCCAGGACTTGAATTTCAGAGCCTAGGGTTCCCCTACACTGCCTCATTCATTCATCCATCCATCCGTCTGCCCACTCTATAAATAATGACCGGGTGCCTAAAATATGCGAGGTTTTGCTTTCTAGGCACTAAAGAAGCCAAACAATACCTGCTCTCAAGGAATTTGGAGTCTATAAGGAAATACACATAAAGAGTATAAATAAACAGCGGAGAGTGACCACATGCGAAGGAAAAAAAATGAAACAAGAAAGTGGGGGTGGGACTTTCTAGATGGGGCAGGCAGAGCACGGCTTCCTGAGGAGACATTTGAGTAAAATCTGCAAGAAGTGCCAGGGAGACACTGGAGGAATAGCATCAGAGGCCCTGGGGCAGAGCACTGCAGGGTGAGCGGGGTGAGCGGCAGGACACAAGCCGCTGTGGCCTTGAGAACCAGGACTGAGAGGAGGGCAGGAGACAGGGTCTATCCACACGGGAAGGACTTTGGCTCTAATTCTGTGATACAAAGCCAACAGAGTTCTGGGCAGGTCTATGACGTGGCTTGGGTTTAACAGGGTCACAGCGGCAACCGCGTTAAACACACCCGGTGCGGTGCAGGCAGAATCCAGGACACGCGTGGGCAGCTGCCGCATGGCTCCGAGCTAGGCCGTCGGACGGTGGGCACGGGAGAGTGATTCGCCAGCGGATTGGATGAGAGTGGAGGTGGAAGGAGAGGGACCATTTTCTGAGGACTGTGGGATGTGCAGGGCAGAAGGAACAGATGAGGAATTCAGTTTGGGGAAGTGTCTGAACTGCCCAGGAGCTAGACACCCCCGTAGGGAGGAGTAACATCAGCAAGATACTTGACCCTGAGGTTTAGGGAGCAACCTGGGCTCCGTGTAAAGCTTGAGAATTGTGAACTTGAAGTTGACATTTAAGGCCTCTAGACAGACTCATCGAGATTCCTCCCAGAGATGCTGGTACAGCATCTCTGGCCCACACTGACCCCCCACCCTGTAGAAGGCACCGAGCCCCGCTCACCTCTTCCTTTCGTCCTGTTCTCACCAGCACTTGCCAGGAGAAAGGGCAGTGGGAGTGTGACCAGGAGCCATGCCTGGTGGACCAAGACATGATCAACGCCATCAACCAGGGCAACTACGGGTGAGGCCCTGACATGCCCCCTGGTGGGACCCTGGCCTGTGTGCACACTCGCACACACACGCACACACCCCCTGCCCGAGACACACGTGTCCTGGAGCGCCCATGCTCAGATTACACTCCTGGGCCAGTGTGTGTGTCTCCCACCGCCAGGGCCTCCAGGACCCAGCCCGGAGGGTCCCGACCTCCTTCCCTCTCCTCTCCTCCAGATGGCGGGCTGGGAACCACAGTGCCTTCTGGGGCATGACCCTGGATGAAGGCATCCGATACCGCCTGGGCACCATCCGCCCGTCTTCCTCTGTCACCAACATGAATGAAATTCACGTAAGTGTGTCCTCGCCCTCGAACTCGCCATCTCCACATGGCCCCGGGCAGGACCCTGTGCCCTGTTCCTGCAGGAGCTGGGGCCTGCCCCCGCCCGTCAGCTGCCTGTCTGTGGGCGAGGCACTCTCCTCTGAGTCCTGCCTGTAACAACTGTGCTGCCTGGAAATACTAATGCTCAGAATCAGAGTTCTGTGGCCTCAGCATCAACCCTGCGCAGCACCCCCAGCCTGGGAATAACGCTCTTGGTCCCAGAGAGGCCTGATCAGGGCCCCAGGGGCCAGGAGGTCACCTTGGTATTTTGAGACGGGAGGGACAGCTACTCCTCCAGTTCTGGCCAGAAAGTAGCAATTCTCAGAAACAAATGCTGACTCAGAGGAACCCCAAGGGAGGAGGGGGCTTCTCCCTCCCCACCAGTGGGAGCCTCTGGGGGAGAGATGGGAATTAGATTCAGAAAAGTCAGGGTAAGGAAAGGGCAGGTCAGGACGAGAGCCCATGCTGGCGTCCGTCCAGCAGGCGGGAGGAGGCAGGGCTGGCAGAGAGGCCTCCAGAGGCCCCCCACTCACGGCTGTGGGGACCAGGCGGACCCGTCCACCCTCACTCCCTGGGGCCTCTGGCTATTTTCTGCTCCCTTCTCTTTTCCTTGGCCATCTTCCAGGTCACGGGACCTTGCTGTTTATTCTGTCCCCTGCCCTTTGGGGCCTGAAGTGCAAGGTCCTGAAAGGAAGGATGTGGCAGATCAGAAGAACATGGAAAGAGAGGGAGTTGGGGGTGGGAGGTGGAGAGACCCTGATCAGTGGCCTGACCTGGCCACTCCCTGTTCCTGGCCTCCGCTGCCTCATCTGGTAAGCAGGACTAGTCACCCCACCGCACACACCTGACGACAGCAAGGCCCTGAGCGGTGCCTGGGTCTTCCACACGAGGCAAGGTGGAAGCTGCTGGACTCGCTCAGCAGCAGGAGGGCTCACGATGGGCAAGACCCCAGCAGAAGGTGCTGGCCTCTTGGTCACCATCAAGCCTCTGGCCACTTCGACCCTAGAGGCAGCCCAGGGCAGAGGCAAAACGCAGAGAGAATAACGTTTGCCTTGCAGACAGTGCTGGGGGCAGGAGAGGTGCTGCCTAGGGCCTTCGAGGCCTCTGAGAAGTGGCCCAACCTGATCCACGAGCCCCTGGACCAGGGCAACTGCGCAGGCTCTTGGGCCTTCTCCACCGCAGGTATGTCCGAGGGCAGGGCTGGCCTGGAGGGGACGGAGGGCTAGGGCCTGAGCGTCCTGACGGCCGCCTGCCTCTTTCCAGCTGTGGCGTCCGACCGCGTCTCAATCCATTCCCTGGGGCACATGACACCTGTCTTGTCACCCCAGAACCTGCTGTCTTGTGACACCCACAACCAGCAGGGCTGCCACGGCGGGCACCTGGATGGTGCCTGGTGGTTCCTGCGACGTCGAGGGTGAGCATCAGGGGACACGGGTAGGGATGAGGGCGCGGGGCAGGGGCTCGGGAGACTTCGGGAAGGTCCGGGCCAGGCTCTGCTATGCTGACTCTCCTCGCTCCCCCACCACCTCGCCAGGGTCGTGTCTGACCACTGCTACCCATTCTCGGGCCGTGAGGGAGACGGGGCTGGCCGAGCACCTCGCTGTATGATGCACAGTCGGGCCATGGGTCGGGGCAAGCGCCAGGCCACTGCCCGCTGCCCCAACAGCCAAGTCCATGCCAATGACATCTACCAGGTCACCCCTGCCTACCGCCTGGGCTCCAGCGTAAGTCTGGGCTTGGTGAGGGGCAGAGGTGGGAGAGCTGGGAGCTGGCTAAAGAGGGTGCCTCTCCCCTGATGGATCCCCACCCCACCCTCCAGGAGAAGGAGATCATGAAGGAGCTCATGGAGAATGGCCCTGTCCAAGGTAAATGCCCCTCACCCTGGCCCTGCTTCCCCAAGCCTGTGTCTGCTTGAGACTGTGCCTGGTGGCACAAGTGGGGATGTGCCCCCCTCCCTGGAGAGCGCCAGCAGGGGGCACTTAGGGTCTTGGTACAGAGATGCCCGGGGTCTGGGCATGATCCCCAGACTCAGGCAGTGGTGCCTGTGCTCACGGGTGAGCTGGCTCCTTGGCCTCTGCCCACAGCCCTCATGGAGGTGCACGAGGACTTCTTCCTGTACCAGGGTGGCATCTACCGTCACACGCCGGTGAGCCTCGGGAGGCCAGAGAAATACCGCCGGCAGGGGACGCACTCGGTCAAGATCACAGGGTGAGGGGCTTGGAGAGGAGGGGGGGCCCGGTGGGGACTTCTGAGCCTGCCTCGACTCTGCCACCTCTCTGCAAAGCCCCATTTCAAAGAAGAGGCGGCCCAGACTCTGAAAGAGGAGGATGGCCCTGGGCCGTGCGGTACCTTTTAAGGTTTTCTAGGAAGCAACTGTCTCTTCTTTACATACTGGGATGAAACAACCCCAGTGAGACACAGACGAGGATTTAAGAACTGCTCAGCCTCTCTCCCCATCTCAGCACCTGTCCCAACGCCGCCTGACTCACTGACCTGAGCTGGTCACTCCCCCAGTTTCCACACCTGACATAGGGGAGACGGTGGAGTCATCCATTTAACTACCCAGTGGGGGATCGGGGGCCCCTCGGGAACCCACATTCTCTCTCTTTTTGTGGTCCCTGGCACTCAGTCCTCCCTGGTTCCCCGCAGAGGGGACAAGTAAGCAGATGTGTCAGGTCCCAGATAACTGGTCCCCAGGATGAGGGCCCCTGGAGGACCTCCTTTTCTGCTCACCCCTCCACTTATCTTGTGGAGGTGCCTTGCCCCACATACTGAGATCCCAAGGGAGGGCAGAAGGGGACAGAGATCAACCCAAGGCCGCGGGGTGCCCCTGAGTCACCAAAGCAGGGCCCTGGGTAGGGAGGGCCGTCAGGTCCGACTCCCGCTGGCCTTTGCTGAGCGCCCTTCTCCCTGCAGGTGGGGCGAGGAGACGCTGCCCGATGGAAGGACACTCAAATACTGGGTGAGCTCGCGCTGCTCCGGGCAGGCCCTCTCCTCCCAGGCCCTCCTCTCCCGTCTCTGCTTCCCCTCCTCACCGCTCCTCTTCATTCCCAGACCGCAGCCAACTCCTGGGGTCCAGGCTGGGGAGAAAGGGGCCACTTCCGTATCGCGCGCGGTGCCAATGAGTGCGACATCGAGAGCTTCGTGCTGGGCGTCTGGGGCCGCGTGGGCATGGAGGACATGCGTCACCACTGAGGCGGAGGCCCGGCAGCCGGCGGAAGAATCCGAGTGGAGCGGCGTGGCGGCTCTGCTCCGCCCTCCCACCTGCAGGAGCTGCGGCGCAGCCAGGACAGCGCCCAGGACTGTGTTGAAGCCCCCAGCAGGTTCCGCTGACACAGCGCCCGGCCTGGGAGCCGCGGGCAGGCGAGGCGGGCAGGCTCCCAGCGGGGAAGGACAGGACCTGGCCTGGGAGGAGCGGACCTGCACATCCCACCGGCGCGACAAACTACTGCACCCCTCCGCGAGAACAGCAAAGCCAGGACACCCCCAAGTCTCCAGCCCCACCACCCTATCCCACCCCACTCTTGTACTCCTTCTCAGAGTTATTTATTTTTCTTTTCACTGTTTTAAAATAAAACCAAAGTATTGATAACTATGACCGCTGTGCCTTGGGGCCTCTGGGAGTGGAAAGCCGGATGGGAGCCCAGCGGTACAGGGTTCGGGAGCAGAGGGCCGCCTGGGCCTTGTGTTTGTCGCGCCGGTGGACCACAGATCTCAGCCTCCTTTCAGCCCTAATTGTCCGTGGCCCTGGGCACTGACCGACTTGGCAGTGGGGCACGGGTGGCCTGGCCTTTGGCCCCCAAAGAGACGCATGCTCGTGGGAACCACGTTTCAGACGCTGACTCAGTGTCGCCTGAGCCGGGAGCCAAGCCACGGATCAGCAGAACTGGCTCCAGTGCCCAGCAGGCGAGGAGGCACGGCCCACAGAAGCTGGGGCCTCTGGTCTCTGCAGATCAGCCTCTCCTGGGCACCCAGGGGAAGAGCCTCCTGTCTGTCTCAGCCCCTGAGCCATGCTTGCTGGCCCTGCCTCTCTGTGCTCTCCGCTCTCCCCCTCCGCACCTGCTCCAGAGTCCCAGGGCAGCTGCAGAATTAGCCCAGGCCTCTGCATGCCTTTGAGGCCTTTTCAGTACCCGCCCCATCAGCCTTCTCAGCAACTCCAGCTTCCTCACTGCTTCCAAATGCCTAGTGCAAGGCGTTGCCCCCCCAGACCCTTCTGCCCGCAGGGTTCTGTCCTTTAGACCTTCCCTGGGGGGGGGGGGACGACTGCTGAGCCAGCTGCTGTGTAAGCCTGTGCTCCCCCAAATCACCCACCCCACCTAGCACGATTTAGACACCCCCTTCCTGAACTCATCTGCACCCTGCTCTTTCTCCCAGTATTTCACGTATTCAGTCTCTCTAACCCCATTATGCTGGAAGACGGGGGCAGGGCCTGGCTCCTTAGGGGAGCCACACTTGCACCCTGGCCTAGATGGCCTTCCAGTCCTCTCACCAGGGCTTTCCTCCCAGGCACCGCCCCGCCCACCCACTAGGTCCCCTCCTTTCCAGCCCCTGGGGCTGTGCCTGGGAGGATCAGAAGGCCAGGACTGGGAGTTGCAGAGGGTGGCAGCGGGGAGCTTCTCCTGCGCGGCAGCCCCTGGGGGCGGGGCGTCCCCTGGGTCACGGGGCATCACCTGAAAGGAATGCGTGCTCGATAAGAGGCGCCTTTGTCTCATATCCTGTTTGCCAGGACGTCCCTAGCTGGGCTACCCTGGCGGCCTGCCTGTCCCCGAGAAGCCAAGGCCGGCAGAGGTTCCTGGGGACGGCTACGGGGGCGGGGCGGGGAGACCCGAAGAGGGGAGCCCTGGAAAGCGGCCTGCTCACCACCCCCTCGGCAGCTTCGGCTGGCGGGAAGCGCCCACTGCTCCCACACGGCTGGAAAAATCCCGTGCCCCGGGCAGGCGGGGCTGGAATTTTCTACAAGGATCTTTGGCGGAAGCCATGGAGGGGAGGGGAAAGGAGAGGAACTGGGGCGCGGCCGGGTCCCCAGCCCGGAGGGGAAGCAGCCCTGCGCACGCGTGAGGGATCATCGCGTCCTTCCTCAGCCCTGTTCCCTGGCCAGGGAGGCCCAGGCTGGCCCGCCAGTGGAACTAGCGCGAGTGGGGCTCAGCCCTGCCCGGTGACCTCCATCAACCACACCTGCTTCTCTGATGTTGGTAATGGGGGTGGGGTGTTGTTGTGAAGAGCAGACCCTCAAGGGTCTGTACTGACATGACTGCTTCCACCCCCCCCCCCCCACCCATCGGCCTATACAAACATTCTGGCACCCCACCCCCTTGCTGTGAGTCCTGAGGCTGCTTCCTCCCTGGCTCGGCCAAGGGCCCAAGTCCTTAGACAAACCTAGACTTGAAGCCCTGTTTTGTTTGTTCCACCCTGTTGTAATCAAGAGCTCCCAGAACTTCTGTTTCTCTGCCTTTAATGGGGGTAATAGTCCTCACTTACCTCCCGCGATGTGGGGAGGATTAAATGCGATCAAGCAAGCATGCTAAGCATTTGGTACAGCGCTGGGAATGATGGAGGGTTCAGTAAATGGTGACCGTTTTATTTTTATGGGCTTAAGACTTGATGATGTAAAGGAATTTTGTAATGAGCTAAGCATTTACTAAGTGCTTAAACTCAGCTTCCTGCCAGCACATTGTTTGGAGTGCTTTACATACATAATCTCATTTAATGCTAAAAATAAGCAGCTGTTTCCTTACTCTGCAGATAAGGAACAGAAACAGAAGTCAGAAGGTTGGTAGAGACAGGATTCACACACAGCTGTCTCATACTAACACACTTGGGCTCTGTACTAATAGCAGCACAGTAATAGTGGTAGTGACAGCCCACTGTCCCTTCCCAAGTCCTTTCCCTGTTTAGCAAACTCTTATTCATCCTTAAAAACCCATCCCAAATATCCCTCTTCTGGAGAGTTTTCTGGCACCCATTTTTTGGACCTCCAAGTACCCCAGCATGCACAGAAAAAGTACTTGCTAACCACATTTCCTCCCGCAAAGGGTTGGATAGGAATCTTTCTCTTAGCCCCATCCATTCCTATCCACTGAATGTTCCATCAGGGCATTCATTTTGGTCTCCTGTGGGGCTCTTCGTGTCCTAAGGCACCTGGCTTGACTCCTCAGGGCTCCTGAGTTACATCATCTCAGGAGCAACGATGCCTCACGTCTTCCTGGTACCTTGCCAAGCCCCATCCTTGCCCAGTGCCCATTAAGGAAAGGAATTCATGCCCTCTAAGCCTACATTGGGCCAGACTATGGACTAAGCGCTTCACACACTTCAGCTATTTGAGCCTACGCATATCCCTGTGAGAAAGTATACTTAGAAAACAATGCCAACCAGCGAAGTGACTCCAAGAATCAAAGGGAGAGGCAAACCCTACAGTGACCCCAGCTCATAGGTCTAGGGGTGGCTGGCGCCAGGGACCCGAATACTACAGGGCTTCTCTCCCTGCCCTGTGCCGTGCTCAGGATTTTCATCTCTCCTTTCTGCCCGCCTCCCCTCTGCCTACCTCTGCTATTAGGAAAGACACGGCAGAGAGCACTCAGGCCCACAGCATTTTCTCAGTTCTGATTCAGAAAAATCAGGACAGCAAGGAAGGCGTCTCACCAGCCCTGTTCAAATCAGGTGTCCACTTGAGGGCGGCAGGACAGGACCCTGGAAGGCGCCACAGCCCCTGCTGAACCTGTGTTTGGAGGTAAAGAGGGCCCCTGTTCCAGGGGGGAGGGGAATGCTGTGCAGGTGACAGAACCTATCCACCACAGTTGGGGACAGCTGTGACAGCATCTGACAGGCAGGGAGATGGAGGCTCAGGGTGGGTGGGGTGTGGGTATGGGGGGTGCTTGTCACAGCAGGTAAGCGGTGGAGCTGCACGCAGACCACTCTGCCTTCCACAGAACTGGGACCTCAAGCCAGAGAGATACCCTTTGCAGGTCAGAGAGCGAGGACGCCTCCCCAGCTTCCCCTATGACTCACTCCTGAGTCCTGGAAGACATCCTCTCAGATTTCCACCCACTTCATGAAAATGTTGTGGCTTTGGCACTGACACCTGAGGCAAGCTCTTCGCAAGGCAAGGCTGAGTCTGAGCAGGTCTTCTGGGGAACATCTTGCTCCCTGTCTGAGGGGCACATGAGCCCCCCCCCCCAGGGTGCCATGAGATGGGTAACAGGATATGCTTGTTTATAGATCAGAGATCCAGGGACCACATGAACCACACTGAGGATAGGCACTCTAGATAAGGACTGTCCTGGACATCATTTTGCAGGAGGAAACTGAGGCTGGGAGTTATGGTTAGGGAAGGTGAAGTGTCTTGCCCAAGAACACTGTTAGGAAGTGTAGTAACCCCACTGTTAGGCCCCAAGGCCTGGACTTCCCTCAGCCTATGACCAGGTACACACACAGCCCCTCCTCATCTTGTACACAGACTCTTTGGCCTCCACTTCTGCAGACAGGCAAGACCTGAAGTCTGGGGCTCACAGAGACTGGTGACTGAGAGGAGGAGGAGTGATGGGGTCATATAACACTCAGGTGGGCTTAGCCTGGGGTTGTGGCGTAGTATCAGGGTCTGCAGAGAGCCAAATCACTACTCATCCTGCAAAGTCAAGCTCAAAAGCCACCTCTTCTGAGAAGCCTTCCTGGCTCACCTGTATGGTCACATCCATCCTCAGAGCTCACAGCCCCAACCTACACACCTCCAACACAACAGCCCTCTGTGACTGCAGACTTCTCGAAAATAGGGGTGTGCCTAACCCTCTCTGCTCTCAGTATTGCCCAAAATGCTATGGAGAGCCCTCCCTGGTCGGCAACAGGTTAAAGCACAACACTATGAAGCAATCTGCAGCCACTGCAGCACCAGTTTGATCCCCAGCCAGAGATCTGACCCAGGGGTTGGCGCAGCAAATCTCTCCTATCTCACCTGCTGCTCCCCTCAGCAGTGTATTTCAGTCAGTCTGCCTGTTCTGCTCCCCACTCTGTCTCTGGTGAGTCCTCTCATTCCCCACAACTCTGGCCTGTACCCCAGTTCCCCAGTTCTTGTATGCATAAATAAGTTTTTTTTTTTTTTTTTAAGATTTCATTTATTTGTACTTACAGAACTGGGGTAAAAGCCAGAGGTGTGGTGGGTGAGAGGATTCGCCAGACAGAGTGGGAAGAACAGGCAGATCTACTGAAAGACACTGCTGAGGGGAGCAGCAGGTGAAGACAGGAGAGGTCTGCCGGCCAGCAGGGTCAGCAGCTCCCTGGCCGGGGATGGAACTCGTGCTCAGTGGCTTCGGAGAGCTTCATAGTGCGGGGCTTTAGCCTGTTGCGCCACCAGGGAGAGCCCAAACAAATCTGTTTAAAAAAGAAAGGACCCAGGAGCTGCTGGCAGCCACGCGGAGGAGTTCGGCGTGGGTGAGCAGCGGCCCCTTTCGCCCGTGGAGGGTGCGCGGCAGCCGTGGCAGCAGGGCCCCCTGGTGGCCGAATCCGCACTCGCCCTGCGCGCTGGGGCTGCCGTGACCAGGGACCACCTGCACCATCTCTCCGACCCGCAGCTACGGTGGGTCACTGCT